GAACAAGTTCTTACATGGTGAACGAATTCTTACATAGTGAATAAATTCTTACATGGTGAACAGTACAAGGGCATTCATCACAGAAACTTTCGGTTTTGATCACGCATTATGACCTATAAACAATCAGGTCAAATATGAATATTCGTTTGATTTTTATACTTGATTTATATGTTGATCCCACATTTCTCCCTTTATTATTATTATTTTTATTTTTAATAAAATGCTGAAGTGGTAGGTAGATGCAAGATAAAGGTAGAAAACATAGTTTAGTCACTCCAGCTACTTTTAAGATTTTCTTTTTTTAATACAGATTTCAAGCAATTTACTTTTTGTGTGACTTGGTATGGTTTTCTTCATGTTGCTTGTGCTTGGGATTCATTTAGCTTTGTGGATTGATGGATTTATAGTTTCCTCAAATTTCAAAAATTTTTGGCTGTTATTTCTTTAGTTTTTCCCTCCCTTTCAGGGGTTCCAGTTACATATATTTGGCTGCCTGAAGTTGTCCCACAGCTCCCTGATGCTCTGTACAATTACTTTCAGTCTTTTTTCTCTTTGTGTTTTATTTTGCATAGTTTGTATTTTTATGCATTCTTATTTACTAACCTTTTCTTCTGCATTGTTATGAGTTTATTAAATTAACATTTGTCAAGTGGAACACAAGGTGCTGGATGTTGAGTCAAGTACAACAATAGAAATAGAAATAGAGAAGTTTATTACTCACAGGTCCTGGACAGAGTACACAGCATGCCTTGAGGGGCAGCACAGGGAGGTCAACGCAGGGTGCACCCAGAGTGGCAGAACCTGGGGCACATGCCTTTCTTAGGGTTCATGGGTGGAATGCTTGGGGATTCCCAGGCTAAGACTAGATTGATCAATTCAAGTCAAAGAGTGGGTTTTTAGTAAGCTCTATGGGGTCTTACTGAGGGGCCTTTAAGGGAAGGCCCTAGGAGGCAGGGGAGACTGTTGATCACAAGAGCTGTTCACAAAGTTGTATCAGAAACTTACGTTTGCTTGTGACTCTACAGGCTGTTATCTAGGGCATGTGCATTTTAAGAGGACTTGTGTTGGTCTAAGGCCCCTGCAGGCCACTTGGACTGGATGTACCATGGACTAGTTTAGCTAAACTCTCAACAATTGTCTAATGTCATTAAACTCATGCAACATATTTTTTTTTACTTTTTTTACTTTTTTTTTTGTTATCATTAATCTACAATTACATGAAGAACATTATGTTTACTAGGCTCTCCCCTAACCCAAGTCCCCCCCACAAACCCCATTACAGTCACTGTCCATCAGCATAGTAAGATGTTGTACAATCACTATTTGTCTTCTCTGTGTTTCATGCAACATATTTTTCTTCTTGCACATTATATTTTTCATCTCTGGAAGTTTGACTTAGGTATTTTGTCCATCTTTCATGTCAAGTCAACATGGTTCAGTCTTTCTTCTAGCTTCTTGAACATATGGGATACAGTTCTAATAATTGGTTCAATATATTTTTCTTTTAGTCCTATCACCAGACCCTTGTTTTAAGCTTTGTTAGGCAAGAGGCAGAGCAGCATTTAATTTAGGGCTAATTTATTGAGGCAGAAAGTTTCTGAGTACTGTGCTTGATGTCCTGTGAAGTAAGAGGTCGTCCACTGTGGCTGGTGGGAATGGGCAGCAAGTCTGATAGAAGGTATAGGTTGACATTCATTGTTTTACATAGGAATATCCAGTTTTTCCAGCACTATTTGTTGAAGACTCTCCTTTCTCCTTTGAATTGTCTTTGTACTTTTGTTGAATATCAATTGGCTGTATATTTATTATTTCCTACAAGTCTCAGTGAATGGTTGGGATTCAGGCAGCTCCTTCATTCTGCCTGTAGTGATATCAAATTCCAGAGTGTTTTTTTCTATCAGGCACTGGTCCTGTTGACACATGGGGCAGTGGACACATCCTGAGAACTCTGGTGACCAACCAGAGCTTCACTTCCTGTTATGGGAAGGCCCAGGCAGTAGTTACCTGCTGTCTGCTGCCTTCATTCTGCATCCTCTCATGCATTCCCATGTGCCCACACAAAGCCACTGAGGGACACTGTAACAGAGAAAGTTCTCTGCAGCACTGAACATGAGTAAATTATATGGTTGCATATTACCTAAAGCCCAGCCAACTCAAGATCAGGATGTTGAGAAAAGTAAGCCAATCACAGGACGCGTGTATTAAGATTACATTTTTATGAAAGCAAAACAGACAAGACTAAATAATAGTTTACAGATATACTGAAGTATCATAAAACTATATGGAATTCAGGATATTCATTCCCTTTGGGTAGAAGAAAGGGCCATTGAGGGAGGACATTCAGGAGACTTCAAAGGTGCTAGTAATGCTTGATTTCTCGGGCTAAGCTGTGAGTATACAGGCTTCAGTGTTTTGTTGTTTTAGCAATTTTCTTTAAACCATATGTGTATATTTTAAACACACACACAGTAAAAATTATCCAACCGCTGCATCATATTGCCCCAGCAGTGATAAATGTTTCTTCTTCCTACCTTCACACAGACTGGACCATTGGAGAATTTTTATTTGTACAGCCAATTGCCTGGAGGAGGAAAAGCCAAATACTTCATTAGAATTTGGTGTCTTATTTTGCCCTGAGGGCTCACTCCTCTCCTGTTGGAACTCCCAGGGATGCAGAGGCCAGTCTAAGACAGAACCATGCTGCAGTCCCTGCTGCTTCCTGAGTAGTGAAAGAGAATGTCCTCTTGCCTTGGGTGTTCAGACTCTGCATGAAGAAGAAATGACAGAACGCCTTCAGTAAGGGCTTTAGGGATGAGGCCAACAGCTAGGGAGACCTCATCAGGAGCCAGCTACCCTGGTCACTAAGGAACCTCCACAAAGGCATGGACCACCATCTATCAGTCATGAGTGTCCAGAGCAAATACCAAAAGTGTTACCCCTTCTAGCAGATTAAGATCTAAAAGATCAGGGTTATGGCACTAGGCCACCCAGTGAGTCACTTCAGTTATTTCATGTGTGCTCTGAGAATAATGACAAACTTACTGCCCCTGTAGCCAAGCTGAGGGGTAGCTGCAACACAGGACATTCTCTCTGCACCAGTACTAAAATCAGCTCCTACTGAGACCCTGTCCTGGGCCAGGCCCCATAGTGAGTGCTTTCCCACTCACTATGTGAATTTCTGTCTTCCTCGTTTCCATTTTGTTTTGAAGCTTCAGAGTCTAGAAAGAGACTTAAAACTTCAGAGTCTTAAAGGTGACCTCCCTGACCTCTGTCTTCATATTCCCTGTGGGTATTTGGAATATGCCAACTCTAGGATCTCTGCTTTTTTTCTGGAAGCTTTGGAAGGACTTTGAAGTTTGTCCAGGAGGCCTTTGAGCAGTACTGGACTTGTTTCTGAGAGACTTCGCATTAGAGGTACACAGGTAGAAGGTGAGGCCAGGACCTGGAAGGGTGCAGATGCTAAGCAGGAGCTAACGGAGCAGTTGCTAACTCCTGGCACCTGTTGACCCCTCTTTTCTCTGTAAACAGTAAGTAGTCATCTTGTGGCTGGGATTGATGAGGTAGTGGTGTTAGGAGAGCTCTGAAGGACTTGGGGTGTTCCTGTGGCAGTCGGTGGAAGGAGTTGGGAAAGTAGTGGAAGGGCTGGTGGGCAGCACCTGGGCTTGTTGAGACTGAGAAAGCAGAGAAGGCACGTCGTCAGATTTATCACCATCAGCTTTGGAGAAAGCAAAAGGAAGGAAAAAGGGGTGAAGGGGTGAGAGAACCAAAGGGGCCCAGCATGGTACTATGCCTTGGCATCAGAGAAACCTGTGTTCCATACTGGGCTCCACTACCATGTAGTTCTGTAAATTTAGGGGAAATCTCTAAGCCTGAGTTTCACCGTCAGTCCTATAAGAAGAACATTGCCTCTTAAAATTGTTGTGAAATGGGAAACTAAAATGTATATGACATGCTTGGTGCTTGAGTAAAATCTGTTTCCACCCATTTCCCTGACCAAACAGAGATGAAGGATATGTCCTGCCCCAGGGGATCTGCCCTGGATGTGGATGAGAGGAAAGTCAGAAATTTCTGAGCAGTAGGGGAAATGGCACTGAGGGCTTTGAAGGCTCAGTGTCCCCCTCAGAAGGTGAGGTTTGGGGAGTGAGATAGTTAAAAGGATGGTGGAATGCTGTAGTCCAAAGTAGCTGGAGATTTCAGAGGTTAAGACGTTCTGGGTGCTGCTTTACTGTTGTGGAGTTGAGATTGAGGATCAGTGAGGCCAGAACATAGCATGGGCCTTCCCCCTGATCTCAGAAGAAGTGAAAGTGTTGGCTTTGGAAGAGAAAACTGTGAGCACATTCAGAAGCTGTTCTTGAGCTGTTGTGTCTTGATTAGGAGGGCAGTAGATGTGAGCAGTGAAGGAAACGAGTTGTCTGAGTCTCTAAGGGAATGAAAGTATTGTGCCAGCATGGAGAGGAATGAATGGTCTGGGAACAGCAGTGGGGATCCTTGGCGTTAGTACAGGATGAAGCTGGGGCATGAGTAGCCACTATGCAAGAGGGCCAGACAGCAAGGCTCTGTACAAGGGAGGCCAGGCTTTGAAGTTAGAGGTTGGGAGGCTTACAGGGCTTGAATCGGGAAGCCTTGAATGGGGCTGGCTGGTTGAGGCTGCTGCTGCCCCAGATGATAAGGTTGGCTTTAGTTCTCTCTGTCAGATCATCTAGTTCTTCTATTGATATTCAGACTCCAAATCTTCCTCTTGTATCTATTAAACTGCCTCCACCTCCCCTACTCCTCCCCACCCTTCATTAACATGCACACACGAGCCCCTAGACTCACTAGGCCTATCTCTGACTCAAAAGTTGAAGTCTCCAAAATCCCTCACCTTGGCCTTTGCTCTTCTTGTCATTACACATGCAGAGCTTTGGGGCTACTTCCTAGAGCTACAGCCTAAGGAATCACTCCTACGTGTTTGTTTCCTGTCTTCTGCCTTAGCATAAAGATGTTAATGACAGTATTTCCAAGCCTGTGCCTTGAGCTCCAAGAACTACTTTCTTCTGTATATGTGAAAACAGGGAAAGAAAGTCTGTTACAGGAACAGAAAGGATCCAGCTCCATGAGCAGCTTCACTCAGGGCTTTTATGACTTCTCTGCATGCTTCATTTGGGTCTCCAAAGAAAACCCGGGCCCACCTAAGCCCTTATAATCTTAACTGTTCATCTTTTCTGTGTTCTGTCCCCTACAACCCATACTGAGATATTCTGTATGACTTTGGCCATGGAAATACCAGGTCTCCTTATACCTGAATCCTTGTCCCGAGGAGCTCACACCCATAGTCCACATCCCACCCATCTTGTTTTGTGAACTACAAAACAGCAGGCCTCCAGTGTCTATAGAACCCAGTTACTGCCTAACTCATGTTATTTTGCCGGGCACAGGGACCCTTAAGCTCCCTTCACTAGTCCTTCAGCTAAGACTGTAGTGCTCCTTCTTGGGCCTTAAGTGAAGGAGATGGACTCTTTAGAGCTGAGCCAGCTTCTGCCAAAATAGGAGAAATGAGCATCTATAAACTCAATATGGAGCAGACATACCCAAAGTCTTTACTATGTGTCCTTAGAAGATACCCATAAGTGAATGAGAATTTTGCCTCTCCCCATCAGATGATAACGAATTCATTTGTTTTTTATAATTCTTATGCAAAGACTGTGACTGATGCCTCATTTCTATCTGAGGGTCTAGGAGGATACATTGGCTTCCCCAGAGCACAGGGCTTAGCATAAAAATCATGTAACTGAAGTGCTACAGATTCTAGTCTCTAGTTATCCCTCTGGTGTGCTCTGGTACCTGCAAGAAGGACATTGGGATCTGGCCCCCAGGATCCAGTCCTCCAACTCTGATCAGCATTCTTTTCCTTCCAGGGAAAGTGCATTTCTTCTCTGGTGGCCTTCTATTTTCTCACCGTCATCACAGAAGTGTCGTCATTTCCAAGGATCACATGAATTCCATTTCATTCTATGATGGGGTAGGTATTTTACCAGTCCATGGCTTTGGTGTTCAGAAAGACATTCACACTTCTGACAGGGAAGCCCTGTTCCCTGCTCCACCACCACAGGGTAGGATGTCAAAAACCAGCACTACCCTTAAGGCATAAGCAAGCAAGGGAGTTCACGAAGAGGCTGCCTACTCTCAGTGCTCTTGTGAGCTTTGTCAGCCTCGCTGCTCTATAAAAGACAGTTAGAAAGGGATCTGGGTTAGGAGGACCAGCAGCTACCTATGCCCAATTAACTCACCCCAAAGAGGACCAGAAAGTAGGCTGTAGATGTCCTCCAATGGCCCCTGACAGATGGCCTTCTGCCTAGGGACACAAAGTCTCACTCACTCAAGAACTGGAAAGAAGCTACTTCCTGTGACATTGATGAGGCTCTACTCACGCATTAGCCTGGGAAATAATTATAATCGAGCAAAAGGAGGAGAGAAATGGCTAACTTTCTGCAAGAGGGCTTAACCCCACCTTGTGCACTCAGATTAACCTCCACCTCCATGAAGGTTCTACCCCAGAACCATCCTTTAACTTCACCAGGCAGTTCAAAAATACAGGCAGCCCAACAGGATAGAACAGATATCCCTATTAGATGAAAGCTTTGATGTTAGATTAAATAGTCTTCTAACATAAGGGAAGAAAAAATGAATCATTCAAGTGCTGGGACAATAAGTTAGCTAATTTCGGGGGGAAATGGAGTCTTACCTCATATCAAAAATCAAAATAAACTGATAGATTAAAATTGAATATTTTTAAATATCACAAGTAAAAGAATATAAAAATGAGTATCTGTTAAGCTTGTTAGGGACAAGAAGACTTTCTAAGCTTAGAAACAATACAAGAAATTCTAAAGGAAAAGTTTGTCAAATTTGACTGCATACAGATTTTTTAAATTTTTGCTGATAATTTATTGAAGTATATGTTAAATATAATTAAGTGGATCCAGCTAAAGTTTTGATGGATGTATACCGTCATGAAACCACTAGCCCAAACAAGATACAGAAGACTTTCATCACCCACAAAAAGTTTTCTAATGCCCTTTTGCAGTTCATCTTTCCTTTCACTTCTGGCTTTAGGCAACCACTGATTAGCTTTTTGTCACTATAGATTAATTTTCATTTTCTAAAATGTAATATAAATGGATATCGTACATTCTGTAGCCTTTTGAGTCTGGCATTTTTATCTCACATCATGATTTTTAGATTTTTAGATATGCACCATGTTGTGCATATCTGTGTCTATTCCTTGTTATTGTTGAATAATGTCCCATTATATGGATATAGCATAAAATTTATCAGACTAGTTAATAATTTAAAACCCTAAAAGTCTCTCAAAAAGAGAATTAAAAAACAAAACATGAAAAAACTTGGAAAAACATTTTTGATAATTAAAACAAATGAGTTAATATTTCTTTTTTATAAAGAGTTCTGTCTTTGCTAATATGAAAACTAATACGAAAACACTGAGTCCCAGGTCAGGGATGTTCAGAGGATATGAGGTTAGTTAGGAAATATATGGAAGCACATAAAAAAAAGCCTCACACTACCATGTAGAGCAATAAGTTAGCAGAGAGTAAATAAAAGGTACTATTGGCAGAGAAGGAGTGGAATAAACAATGTAAATGTCTAGCCATAAGTGTAGTCTTAGAGGGGAATGGGATGCAATCTGTCAAAGTGATTACAGATAGTTTGTAACTAGATGGCAGATGCAAATGGTAAGTTATGTTACAAAAGCAAGATGTGAAACTGTAAAAATAAATCTGATTTATTAGAATAACCACTTAGAAAAGGCAAATCAATGAATGAATAGGAAATAAATGCTTGGAAAGAATAATGTCAACTGTAGTTGGGTTTAGGTGATGGGACTGTAGATTAATTTTTCTAACCTCCTCTATTCTACTTTTTTTCAATTTTAAAATTAATAAGCGTATTACTTTTATAATGAAAAATTAGATCTTAAACCTTTCCCCCTAAGATCAGGAATAAGACAAGGATGCTTGCTTTTGTCACTTCTGTTCAACATAGCATTAGAAGTTGTAGCCAGAGCAATTAGACAAGAAAAAGAAATAAAAATCATCTAAATTGGAAAGGAAGGAAAATTATCTCTGTTCACAGATGACATGATCTTATATGTAGAAAACCCTAAACATTCCACACAAAAAACTCTTACAATTAATAAAGAAATTCACCAGAATTGCCGAATACAAACTCAACACACAAAAATCAGTTGCACTTCTATACCCTAGCAATGAACAATCCAAAAAAGATATTAAAACATTTGCTTTTATGATAGTATCAAAAAAAATAAAATACTTAGGAATAAATTCCACAAAGGAGTTGAAAGACTTGTGCATTGAAAACTGTAAAACATTGCTGAAAGAATTAAAGAACTAAATAAATGGTAAGACATCCTATGTTCATGGATTGGAAAACTTAATATTGTTAAGATGACAGTATTACTCAAAACAATCTACAGATTCAGTGCAATTCCTATCAATCCCAAAGGCATTTTCTTGCAGAAACAGAAAAACCCACCCTGAATATCATTGAGAATCTCAGGGGACCCCAAATAACCAAAGTAATATTGAAAAGAGCATAGTTGGAGGACTCACACTTCCTGATTTCAAAACTTTCTACAAAGCTACCGAAATCAGACAACAGTGTAGTACTGGCATACGGTCAGACACAGAGGCTGATGCAATAAAATAGAGAGCCCAGAAATAAATCCTCACAGATATGGTCAAATGATTTTCAACAAAGGTGCAAAAACCATTCAGTGAGGAAAGGACAGTCTTTTCAACAAGTGGTGCTGGGGAAGCAAAGGAATGAAGATAGACCCTTATACCACATACCAAAAATTAACTCAAAATGTAACAGAGGCCTAAATGTAAGAACCAAAACTATTAAACTCTCAGAAGAAAACATAAAGGAGTAAATCCTCACGACCTTGGATTAGGCAACATCAAAACCACAGACAACAACAACAAAATACATAAATTGGACTTCATCAAAATTAAAAACTGTGCATCAAATAACATTATCAGGAAAGTGAAAACAACCCACAGAATGGGAGAAAATATTTATAAGACATAAATATATCTGGTAAGGGATTAACATCATAGGAAAAATTTTGAGATGACATTTTCAGTTTAGGAAAAAAGACCCTTGTACTTCCTATATAGCCTGTAACTGGGTATTAGAAAGCACATCTGTAATTGAGTCCCAGTAAATCACATAATATGAAAATAATTGTACCAAAATTCATTGCATGTTTCTGACAGCAGTTGGGAAGGCTGATACTATGCACATGGCTTTTCTCACTGATAGTCCCTCTTTTTCTCTTTAGGATTCCACCAGTATTGTTGCCGCCCTTCTGATAGACTTCAGAAGCTCATTGCTTCCTCATCTCCCAGTTCATTTCCATGGATCAAGCAATTTTCTAATGATTGCCCTTTTCCCCAAATCAAAGATATACCAAGCATTTTACTCAGAGGTAACATCAATCATTAGTTAGCAAAACAGCTACTACTTATTTCCCTTGCAATTTAGATGATAAGGCAGCATCTCAGGGCTGACAGCGAGGTGATATGAGGGAGAGTTGGGAGGACCAGTGGGGGGTGCTCTTGCTGTTGAGAGGTAAGAACCTAAAGGAACTGAACAAAAGGCTTTCAGCTTCTAAGAAAAATCTTCTTTGTCCCCCTTAAATGTTAATTAGACTCATATTCTGTAGCTACTTTATTAAATTGTCGGGCCCTGCCTACTGGATGTGAGCTCTCTGCCCTACCCAGCTGTCTCCCTCCCCTGGTTCTCAGGGTTCACAGGCCTTGCCCTTGTGAATGGTCTCCTACCTGGCAGACTGCATATTATAGGCACTCGTCACAGATTGCATGAGTGAAGGAGCTTACCGCCAATTACACAGCCTACTTAGAGAACAGGCAATAGCCAAACTCAAACGGATGGCCAGCTTCATGACTGGTGGAAATGTCTGGAAAGGTATGATTGCAGCAGTGTGCGAGGGGCAGTGTCCCTCCCTCAGGACAGATTCGTAGCCCATGAAGGAGATGAGAGCTGTCCTTGGCTGCAGTGTAGTGTCTCAGGCCAGTCTGTGTCTCCCTCTTACTGCCTGCTGGTCCTTCCTACCTCCCAGTGCTTGTCCTTTGAATCCCAGAACATAGAGACAGCCCTGTGGATTCTCTTCAGCCTCTAGGCAGAAGTTTGAACTGCTCCTTCTGACTGGCCCTATCATCAGGGAAGAACATGTCCTTGCTGCTATAAAGGTGTTACCTGACACCTTCCTCCGTGCTTCCTGGCCTCTGAAAGAGCAGAATCCCTGGGAGAGGAACCCAGAAAGAAATTCTAGAAAATGAAAAACACAGAACAAAATTGCTTCAGGCCTCTATTTTTGAAACAAACTTGTTTGTTATGATGGTTTTTCTCTGTACTGACAGTCTAGATTTTCAACAACTATCAAATCCCCATGTGGGTTCCATATCCTGTTGTTGGGTTTAAAGTGTTCTTTGCTCAAATTCTGTTTTGTTTAGGTCTTCTCCCCCTGGCAACAACAGGCTAAGTCAGGGCTGTCTTTAAAAGTGATCCAAGAAGATGGATTATCTGTGGAACAAAAGAGATTGTAAGTGGCTGCCTTCAGTGTTTTTGCTTGCTTCCCTAGCAGTGTGTGTCTGCTGTCTCTGCGGGATGATTTGCATTATGTAACGCAGGGATCTTGGCTTCTGGAAGAGCCGACGCAGTCATTGCAGTGCTGCCAGCTTGCAGGTAGCCAGTGCCCTTGGTGAAATAGAAGTCAAGAGAGATGAAATCTACCAAGAATCAGACAACAAGTATAACCAGGGGTTCAGGCCAGTCTTCCTAAGTGGGCATACCAGTTGTCTGCACTGACACTGCATTTTGTTTATGTCAGTGAGATGCTTGTTTTGGGAGCCTTGACTGTCATGGTACTCTGGCTTGAAATCATCCAAACAAGTTATGGAAGGTACGTGTGCTGTAGGGAGGCAGAGTTCTAATCTGTGAGCCTTTGACATTCCAGACACTCCAGTGCCCAGAAGCTCTTCAATGTCCTGAGTCCGGCTGCTGGGGAGAAACGGAGTCCTCTGAAGCTACTCCCAGCCAGACTCCCAGAGCTGGACCAGTAAGCTCTAGTTTTGTTTATAGGTGTTTAATGTTCTGGCTTTTGAAATGTCTGAAACCTCAGTATTAGTCCTTTATAAGCTCCTTTTTTTTAAAGCTTCATAGGGATTACTGTAAAAAGTAGTAGTGACATGCCATATGCAGTTTGATTATCTAGAGAGCATCTCTCTAAGATTTATTTTTTGATGGTCAAATAAGGAGTTTCTCATGTGAATAGGCACCCTCAGGCCAGGCTGGTAGTGGTAACAGAATAGCGTTGTCTTTGTGTCTCTAGGTTTCTCCAGCATTTTGCCGTTGGCAGCATCAGTCGGGAGCCTGTGAGGAGGACCCATCTCCCTGTCCTGCTGCAGCAAGCTGAAATCACCCCCGCTCACCGGGTAGAACATGACAAGGTACAGTGGCTCACCAGATACACTGGGAATTCACAGGAAGGTAACCCTGATAGGCTGACCTTGGATCTTCTGCATCAGCTAACAAAAGCTCAAGCAGAGTCCCTTTATAAAGCTCTCTCCACCTGCTTGGGTTCCAATGTAATGCTGCACACGAAACCTGCTCTAGACAATGACTGCACAAGCATTCATATTAACCCCAGCCAAGCCCCATGGTAGAAGTGAAACTCTGGCACTTTGCCATGCCCTCCTCTTGCTTTTTTCCAGGTCTTCCAAACCCTTACTCAGTGCTCTCATTCCGTCAGCTCTTTTGTGGTTGAAATAAGGACTTTCCTGGCAGTGAGTGACACATTGAGCTTAATAAGGAGAAAGGCGTGGTTAGTCAGGCTTTGCTGACATCACCAGGGAAGGTGATAGTTTATAAACTTATCTTTCCAAGAGTGAATTTAAATCTGCTCCTACTTCACACTCCCTCCTTTTGACTTCTCCCATCATTTCTTTGGAACCATGTTGTAATAGGCTCAAAAAAGGCATTTATTTCTGTGCAAATGTAGAAGACTGCTGAAAAAGAAAATAGGACTAAGTAATTAGAAGCCTCATTTTTCCCTTATGTAGGAGTTTAAAAATGAAAATGCCTATTTGTTGTATTTTATTAAAAAGGTGCTATAGGACTAGCCTTAAAGTAAGGTGTCTGGCTTCTGTGATCTGAGAGGCTGAGGAATGGGAAACAGGATGGGGAAATTTGGATGGGAGGAGAAGAAACAAGGTCAGTTACAAGGAGTACTGCCCACAGGGGCAGAAAGGGATACAGAGCAGGATCCTGCTTAGGCCCACAGGGAGAACTCTGGTTCCCACAAAAGAAGAGGAATCCATAGCCATCTCTGTACTTAGGTGACCAGCTCAAGTGATGAGTGGCACCATGCTGTGCTTTAGTCTAAGTTACCTGTGGCCAGGCCTATCCCAGTGAGTCTGTGCTGTGAAATAAAACACATGCTCTGTCATTTCCATCCATATCCTTCAGCAGTTACATGGTTCATTTCCTCCCCTGCATGAGCCCTTCTTTGTCAGCAAATTTCTTCAAGGTGCTCTGGAATATCTACCTGCAGAGCACCCTGTTTTCACGTGGTTGTGTACTGAGGTTCAGACAGTCCAACCTGGCTCCTCTTCTCCCCATTAGGACTCAGAATTGAGTCTATATCCAGTTTGTTTCCTTAGCTCAGGCCCTCAGCTTGGAGGGCATGGGCAGCCAGACAGAAGCATCTCCAGTGCCACTCCTCTCCACCGAGTTTACCACACCAATTAAGCCCATGGCATTTTTGTCCGAGACCTCCGTTCTGCCCAGTATTTCCCATTGCATTTTAACTGATCTAGTCAAACTTACTCCATGGAAAATATATTAGTAAGACATTTTATATGGTATTTATGTTCTATGTTCTAAGACCTTTACATATATTAACTCAGTTCATCATCACATGCAGCCTGCATAGTAGGTTCTGTTGTTAGCCTAAGGTCACATAGCTTGTGAGTGCTTGTGCCGAGGTTCAGACCCACAGAACCTGGCTCTAGAAGTCACTTCTCTTAACCTCTTACACAGTGCTGCCTCCCAGTTGAATCACAAACTCACATGACTTTTCTTTCATGTAGGTAATTATCAGCATTGTAACCGGCCTCCCAGGCTGTCATGCTAGCGAGCTCTGTGCTTTTCTGGTCACTCTGCATAAGGAATATGGCAGGTTAGTATGTCTGCTGCCTTTGCTTTGGGGAAGGGGATTCTATGCCTGGGCCTGCCTAAGCACTGGGAAACTTCTGACATGTTCTGGCCTTTGGTGTGATTGGTATCAGCATGTAATACATTTGTACTGAGCACTTCCTGTGTGCCAGGCACTGTTCTAAGTGTGGGAGACAAATGAACAAAACAAACCAGAAAATCTCTGCCCTCCAGGAACTTAACATTCTAGTTGTGGAACACAGACAACTAACCAGATAAAGAAAATAATATATTAGCTAGTAAAAAGTGCTATCAAGAAAATAAAGCAGAGAACTATAGAGAGTGCCAGGCTTAGGGGAGGGAATCCAGCTTGAGATTGGGTGCTAAGGGAAAACCTCACTCAGAAGGTCATGTTAGAACAAAGGCCTGAGGAGAGGCTGAACCCTCAGATATTTGGGGAGGAGCGCTATCGTAGCAGGACCAGCACAGGCAAAGGCCTGGGCATGTGCCAGGTCAGCAGGCCAGTTCAGGCTTGAGTGGTTATAACTTGGGATCTGGTAAATGTGATCCTTCCCTGCCCACAAGGGGACGGCAAGAGTTCAGGTGCAGCTGGGATGTGTTGGTCCCCACGAAATTGTGTAAACCATTCATCGCTTCCATCTAACTGGCAGATTTCTGAACAACCCTGGCTAACTGAACAGAGCATTTAATATCTAGTCAGTCTTCCTCAAAGTAAGGCATCTTGCAGGAGGCTTCAGAGGAATTGAAAAGATTGAAATTACCTTGAGGTTGGGAAGTTCAAGGTGGGAAATTATGGGGGGTAAGGAAGGAAGTTTTGGAGAGATGCTAGGAAAATAATTGGCTTTGCTTTATAAGTACTATATAGCTAGCCAGTTCCTCATTTCCATTGCTTTTATTCTATAAAGTCTGAATTCTTCACCCTGTCCATATCTTACTCTTGGCAAGAGTTTTACTGAGCACCAGACTGAAGCCATTTTATTGAACAGTGCTTCAGGAAGTGACTGCCTGCTCAGAAGGAGTCTTTCTTAACTCTGAAGTCTGTTGGCCATCTTCTTACCTGACCTTTTTGCCCAGTTTCAAGGTGTTTCCTGTCAAAAGCTTCAGTGGTAGTAATTCCAGGGTACAGAGCTCCCCACCCAGCCCGTGCCCTCCACCTATGTATGTGGTGCCAGGATTGCTGTGTGGGTTCACTGGGCAGGTGCCTATGGGAGAGCTAGTCACATTGGATCTACTGGCTGAGCCTACAGAGCCAGGCCATCAGGTGTGGCCCCACACTGATTACACTTGCCATTTCCAGGTGGATGATGTACCGCCAAATCATTACACTTGCCATTTCCAGGTGGATGATGTACCGCCAAATCATGGACAGCTCCGAGTGTTTTCATGCCGCCCACTTCCAGAGATACCTTTCCAGTGCTCTGGAGGCTCAACAGAACCGCTCTGCCCGCCAGTCCGCCTACATTCGCAAGAAGACCAGACTGCTGGTGGTGTTACAAGGGTGAGCACTGCAAGTCTTCTGGGGACATATGGTTAGGGTGGTGACCTTGCCATTACTGTTACTTCACATGTGGCTAACCTGGGATACAGAACAAACTCCATATGTGCATGAGCAGTATCTGCACAACACAGAGAGGCTTTAAACAGCCAGGACTCCATGGCCTCAAGTGGCTGGTGTAGTTTGCGCACAAGTTTCAAGTTTGCCTTCAATATAATAATATCCCCAAAAGGTAGGGAATTAGGGAGGAGGTTTTCCTGGGCAAGTTCATGGATAATTCTTTTTTTTATTTAATTTTTTATTAACATATTATTAATATACACTCTTATAAAGGTTTCACCGGGAAAAACAATGTGGTTACTACATTTACCCATATTATCAAGTCCCCACCCATACCCCATCAGGGGGCACTGTCCATAATTGTAGTAAGATGCCACAGATTCACTATTTTCCTTCTCTGTGCAACACTGTTTTCCCCGTGATCCCCCACACCATGTACTAAACATAATACCCCTCAATCCCCTTCTCCCTCCCTCCTCACCCGCCCTCCCACATCCCTCCCCTTTGGTAACCACTAGTTCCTTCTTGGAGTCTCTGAGTCTGCTGCTATTTTGTTCCTTCAGTTTTACTTCACTATTACACTCCACAAATGAGGGAAAACATTTGGCACTTGTCTTTTTCCGCCTGGCTTATTTCACTGAGCATAATATCCTCCAGCTCCATCCATGTTGTTGCAAATGGTAGGATTTGTTTCTTTCTTATTGCTGAATAGTATTTCATTGTGTATATGTACCACATCTTCTTTATCCATTCATCTACAGATGGACACTTAGACTATTGTCAAAAATGCTGCGATAAACATAGGGCTGCATATGTCTTTTTGAATCTGAAAAGTTGTGTTCTTTCAGTAAATTCCAAAGAGTGGGATTCCCAGGTCAAATAATATTTCTATTTTTAGTCTTTTGAGGAACCTCCATGTTACTTTCCACAATGGTTGAACTAGCTTACATCACACCAGCAGTGTAGGAGGGTTCCCCTTTCTCCGCATCCTCACCAGCATTTGTTGTTCTTAGTCTTTTCAATGTTGGCCATCTTTACTGGTGTGAGGTGATATCTCATTGTGGTTTTAACTTGCGTTTCCCTGATGACTAGTGATTTGGAGCGTCTTTTCATGTGTCTGTTGGTCATCTGAATTTCTTCTTTGGAGAACTGTCTCTTCATATCCTATGCCCATTAATTGGGTTATTTGGTTTTTGGGTGTTGAGGCATATTAGTTCTTTATATATTTTGGATGTTAACCCCTTGTCAGATATGTCATTTACAAATATGTTCTCCCATACTGTAGGATGCCTATTTGTTCTGTTGATTGTGTCCTTTGCCGTACAGAAACTTTTTAGTTTGATGTAGTCCCATGAGTTCATTTTTGCTTTTGTTTCCATTGCTCAAGGAGATGCGTTCAGGAAGAAGTTGCTCATGTTTATATTCAGGAGATGTTTGCCTATGTTGTCTTCTAAGAGTTTTATGGTTTCACGACTTATATTCAGGTCTTTGGTCCACTTCGAATTTACTTTTGTGTATGGGGTTAAACAATAATCCAGTTTCATTCTCTTGCATGTAGCTGTCCAGTTTTGCCAACACCAGCTGTTGAAGAGGCTGTCATTTCTCCATTGTATGTCCGTATCTCCTTTATCATGTATAAATTGATCATATATGGTTGGTTTTTTTATATCGGGGCTCTCTAGTCTGTTTCATTGGCCTATGGGTCTGTTCTTGTGCCAGTACCAAATTGTCTTTATTACTGTGGCTTTGTAGTAGAACTTGAAGTTGGGGAGCATAATTCCCCCAGATTTATTCTTCCTTCTCAGAATTGCTTTGGCTATTCGAGGTCTTTTGTGGTTCCACATGAATTTTAGAACAATTTTCTCTAGTTCGTTGAAGAATGCTATTGGTATTTTGATAGGAACTGCATTGAATCTGTAGATTGCTTCAGGCAGAATGGCCATTTTGACAATACTAATTCTTCCTATCCATGAGCACAGGATGTGTTTCCATTTATTGGTATCTTCTTTAATTTCTCTCATGAATGTCTTGTACTTTTCAGAGTATAGTTCTTTCACTTCTTTGGTTAGGTTTATTCCTAGGTATTTTATTCTTTTTGATGCAATTGTGAATGTAATTGTTCTTCTGGGTTCTCTCTCTGCTAGTTCATTGTTAGTGTATAGGAATGCTACAGATTTCTGTGTATTAATTTTGTATCCTGCAGCTTTGCTGAATTCACATAGTAGATCTAGTACTTTTGGAGTTGAATTTGGTACTATATCATGTCATCTGCAAACAGGGAGAGTTTAACTTCTTCCTTGCCAGTCTGGATTCCTTTTATTTCTTTGTGTTGTTTGATTGCTGTGACTAGGAATTCCAGTACTGTGTTGAATAGGAGTGGGGAGAGTGGGCATCCTCTCCTCTCCCCAGTCTTAAAGAAGAAGCTTTCAGCTTCTCGTTGTTAAGTATAATGTTGGCTGTGGGTTTATCATATATGGCCTTTATTATGTTGAGGTATTTGCCTTCTATACCCATTTTGTTGAGAGTTTTTATCATGAATGGATGTTCAATTTTGTCAAATACTTTTTCAGCATCTATGGAGATGATCATGTGGTTTTTGTCCTTCTTTTTCTTGATTTGGTGGATGATGTTGATGAATTTTCTAATGTTGTACCATCCTTGCATCCCTGGAATAAATCCTACTTGATCATGATGGATGATCTTTTAGATGTATTTTTGAATTTGGTTTGCCTATATTTTGTTGAGTATTTTTGCATCTATGTTCATCAGGGATATTGGTCTGTAATTTTCTTTTTTGGTGGGGTCTTTGCCTGGTTTTGGTATTAGGGTGATGTTGGCTTCGTAGAATGAGTTTGGGAGTATACCCTCCTCTTCTATTTTTAGGAAAACTTTAAGGAGAATGGGTATTAGGTCTTCACTAAATGTTTGATAAAATTCAGTGGTGAAACCATCTGGTCCAGGAGTTTTGTTCTTAGGTAGGTTTTTTTTTTGATATCATTGATCTACACTTACATGAGAAACATCATGTTTACTAGACTCCCCCCTTCACCAAGTCTCCCCTACATAGCCCATTAGTTACTCTCCATCCATGTAGTAACATGCTGTAAAATCACTACTTGTCTTCTCTGTGTTGCACAGCCCTCCCCATGCCCCCCACACACATTATACATGCTAATCATAAGGCCCCCTTTTTTCTTCCTACCCCTTATCCCTCCTGTCCCACCCTTCCTCCCATGTCCCTTTCCATTCGGTAACTGTTAGTCCATTCTTCGGTTCTGAAACTCTACTGCTGTTTTTTCCTTCAGTTTTCCTTAGTTCTTGTATTCCACATATGAGTGAAATCATTTGGTACTTGTCTCTCTCCACTTGGCTTATTTCACTGAGCATAATACCCTCTAGCTCCATCTATGTTGTTGCAAATGGTAGGATTTGTTTTCTTCTTATGGCTGAATAATACTCCATTTTGTATATGTACCACATCTTCTTTACCCATTCATCTACTGATGGACACTTACGTTGCTTCCATTTCTTGGCTATCGTGAATAGTGCTGCAATAAACACATGGGTGCATCTGTCTTTTTCAAACGGGGCTTCTGCATTCTTAGGGTAAATTCCTAGAAGTGGGATTCCTGGGTCAAATGGTATTTCTATTTTGAGCATTTTAAGGAACCTCCATACTGCTTTCCACAATTGTTGAACTAATTTACATTTCCACCAGCAGTGTAGGAGGGTTCCCTTTTCCCCACAACCTTGCCAACATTTGTTGTTGTTTGTCTTTTGATGGTGCGATCCTTACTGGTGTGAGGTGATATCTCATTGTGGTTTTAATTTGCATTTCTCTGGTGATTAGCGATGTGGAGTATCTTTTCATGTGTCTGTTGGCCTTCTGATTTTCTTCTTTGGAGAACTGTCTATTCAGCTCCTCTGCCCATTTTATAATTGGAGTTTCGCTTTTGTTTGTTGAGGTGCGTGAGCTCTTTATATATTTTGGATGTCAACCCTTTATCGGATCTGTCATTTATGAATATATTCTCCCATACTGTAGGATGCCTTTTTCTTCTATTATTGGTGTACTTTGCTGTACAGAAGCTTTTCAGCTTGATATAGTCCCACTTGTTCATTTTTGTTTTTGTTTCCCTTGCCTGGGGAGATATGTCCATGAAGAAGTTGCTCATGTTTATGTCCAAGAGATTTTTGCCTATGTTTTTTTCTAAGAGTTTTATGGTTTCATGACTTACATACAGGTCTTTGATCCATTTCGAATTTACTTTTGTGTATGGGGTTAGACAGTGATCCAGTTTCATTCTCTTACATGTAGCTGTCCAGTTTTGCCA